CGGAATCGTTGGATCCTTGGTGAAATTTCGTGGAGTTCCTTGGTAGAGAGGACCAAGGCTTTGTGATTTGTCTCCAGTGTATACTGCTTGCAAAGGATGTATTCACTGAAACGTTCTGATGCCCATGTTGCATCAATGGCTTCCTTCTCGATGACGGCTTGGTTCTTTTCTGCATCTGTCAGAGCTCGTGAGATGTTGCTGACAGGTCTGCGAGAACCATCATCTTGGATTTGTAGAAGTACTGCCCCGAGGTCAGACATAGAAGCATCTGCAGCAACGATAGTCTCCAGGTCAGGCGAGTAGTGTGCCAGTATAGGTGTTGTGGTGAGGCCATCTTTGGTGCATTGAAAAGATGCCTCTTGATGTTCTCCCCAGGTCCACAATGAGTCTTGTTTAGCAATGTTCGCCAAGGTTCAGTTTCAGTAGCCAAGTTAGGAGAGAATTTTGTAATCTGGTTCACAATACCCAAAAAGCGTAGTAACTCAGTGACGTTCTTCGGCTGACGGAACTTTCGAATGGCGTCCACTTTGGCTGGATCTACCTTGAGGCCTGTGTTGTTCACGATGTACCCGAGAAACTTGATGGATGGCTGCGAAAATTCACACTTGTCGTTTAGAGTTATCTTAGCTCTCTGGAGACGCTTCAGGACTTGTCTGGCTCGCTTATTGTGAGTGTCCTGATCAGGTGCAAGTATGACAATATCATCTATGTGACAAATGACACCTGGAAGGCCGTCCAGAATGTTACACATTTTCCTTTGGAAGCAGAATCTCCCAAACGGTATTATGAAGGTAGTGTATCTTCTGGAGTCTGGATCGAGAGGGATTTGCCATAATCCGCTCGTCGCATCCAACTTAGTGAATACCGTAGATCCTGCAAGCTTGGCAAGCTGTTCGTCTACGGATGCCAGAGGGTGGACCTCTCGTTGCACTACCTTGTTTAGACCGGTGAGGTCCACGCATCTTCTAACTGAGCCATTTCTCTTTGGCACAACAACCATTCCGGAACACCATTCTGTGGGCTCAGTTACAGGCGAGATCAGGCCTTCAGCCAGCATTCGGTCAATTTCGGTCTTGACTTTTGGCAGTAGAGGGTGTGCTACTTTTCGTGCTGTGTACAAGCACAAAGGATCAGCGCCTTCTTGTAGCTTGATCGTGTATGGGTCTTTCAGTTGTCCTAGTCCTTTGAAGACATCAGGGAACTCTCTTTTGAAATCAGGAGATGTCTCGTGGACTGCATTGCGTCTGGCAATGTGAGACCCAGCTTTACACAAGCTGACCTGCTGAGTAGGGCAAGTGGTTGGTCTTTTACAACAAATAATGTCTCTTTCGTGGCTTTTTCTTTGAACTTTAGATCAGCCTTTAGACGAAACCTGTCGAAACGTTGTCTCCAACGAGGCCACGATTCTGCCTTCCCATCAAAGGGCTTCGGCGGGGGTAGAGACACGCGGCGATGAACTGTTGTTTCATCGGCCTGATGAACGTTAACATCCGTGTCGTGTTCAGCCATGATTCAAAAAGTAAAGAAATGAAACTTATGATATATACCGTTGTTAACCGCTGCCACCATGTAATATTGTTCGGTTTGTGGGTACAAACAGATTTACAGAGACTGAAGAAACGCGCGCTTGAAAATCAATGAAAGGGCTCTGTGTTATATTTCTGTCCTCAAGTACACTGTAACCGAAAAATGACTACTGAGTAAAACTAAAAGAAAGGTATTGTCTAAATCCCGATACGCTACCTAACAGTTATAACAGAAGTGTTATGTAATGCACATTATTACACAGATGGGGTTGAAACGGTCCTGGAACAACATAACATCTGTCACAGACGCCTCACACCTAACACAGGACCGAAACCTGCGCCTCCCCTCGACATCCTAAGGATACCAGAGGAGTGAAAAGGTTTTTAAAAAGTAAGAAAGTATTATCAGTATGACACTTAAAGGGGGGGGGGGTGCACACTTGAAGGCTATCTCGCTTATTATGAATCCAATTCTACCAAATTTTACACACATAACAAGCATAGTGCGGTGTCTTAAAATCCGTGCTTTGATGTCAAGAACTGGATGATTGATAATAAGCTCCAGCTTAATTAAAATAAAACTGAAATTATTTAATGTAACCCAAAGAAGAGCCATATCCCCTTAGACATTCATCATTTTGGTACTGAAAATTAAAAACTCTATTTTACTGATAAGGCACAATATCTGGGAGTGCATTTTGATTAAAAATTGTCAATAGAACATCATATCAATTTTTTATGTTTCTTTTTATTTTGTGATTTGCGAAGAATCGGTCCTATGTCTATGTTTTTTAATGAACGTTCATTGAAAACGCGCGTGTCATCTTTCTTGTTTTCACGCATCGATTATTTCAATGCTTTACTAGCTAACATACCAAATACCACTCTTCACAAGTTACAACGTTTTCAAAATCAAGCTGCTTGGCTTGTACTAAAGAAAAAGAAAAGGGATCACATTACTCCGGTGTTAAGAACGTTGCATGGGCTCCTGTGTCAGCTAGAATGTCATATAAAATTACAGTATTATGTCATAAATGTGTCAATAACAAAGCTACCTAATATTTTAGTGATGTCATTCAGATTTAGGTTCCATCTAGATCACTAAGATCAGGCGATCAGTATCTTTTAAGATCGTTTACCCACCTTGTGCCATCAGATTGGAACTCTCTACCTCAACCCTTGAGACA